GGGGCCCCGAGACAAAAAAATCGAGGACTGTTGCCCTAAACTCTGCAAATGTCCTTTTATTAAACTTTCCGCAAGTTACCTTCTGGGAGAACGGCATTACTTTCCTATCAGGATACTGGCTGATATAATGTTACTGAAACATTATCAACAGTTGTTGATGTTTGCTGTGAGGTATGTGTGATTTTATTTTCTTCTTTATGTTTCTTTTTTTTTCTTGCACTTTTAAGATTTTCTACGACAAGGATGCATTATTTTTATAATTAGGATAAAAGAAACTTCCCCTTCCAAAACTATCAGAAGTGAAAGTCGCAGTGTTTCCTGCAGATGAGTCGATGGTTTCAGGGTGCCTTGCAGAGCTGAGGCACCCAGGGGTGCAGGAGAGGTGTGCGGGGGCGGGGTGGGACAGGAGTGAGGGTGGATGAGGTTCCTGCCCCAACCAGAATAGCTCTTTCATCTGTTTTACATATCGGGTTTCTGCATAATATTTCATTTAAAGAAAAGTTTCCACTGCTTAAAAAAAGAAGAGTTTGAAAACCTTTACCATGAGAATAACAGTCAAAAAGCTAAATTTAGGCTGCAAAGGACTCGCTCAAACTTTTGAATGTGGTAGAGTTTCCATAAAGAAAACCCTACAGATTCTGAGAGAACAGAAGCCCTGACACGTTATCAAATGTTCAGTCGTTTTCGGGGAGGCTGGGCCCATGTGGCCTGGGAGAGAAGTTTCGACTAGGAGATGACAGGCTGACCCAGGGACTCCGATACAAAGGGCCCTAAAAGCCAGCAGAAACGCCAGGAGCCGTAAGGCCCAAAGACACACAGATCAGAACCACGAGTGAGTGGTTCTCTTATTTTCTAGGGAAACACGAATGCAGGAGGTGCCAGGACCACCTGGCTGTTAGAAGCATGGGCACCTGATTTGCCTTCAGGGACAACTGACCTACCTCAAGTTCTGGGTCTGAGACCTGCGAGGTCTCAGTGAGGGACATGGCCTCTGGATGAGAAGCTGTAAAATGCGGTTTGAGGAGGTAAAAAGAGGTAGTCATTTCTGAAAACAGTTTGGCAGTTCTTTAAAAAGTTAAAAATAAATTTCCCACATGACCCAGCAATGCCGCTCCTAGGTGATTCCCAAGAGACACGAAAACACCTGTCCACACAAAGACTTGCACATGCGTGTTCTTAGCAACACTGCTCATCATAGCAACCCAAGATGGAAGTCACCGAAATGTCCGTCGCCTGCTGGCTGGATAAATAAACGTGGCCTGTCCACACATCGGGATACCGTGGGACAACACAGAGGAACGGCATCCTTCCTGCTACATGCCACACCCCAGGGGTGCCTTGAAAACATTACTCCGAATGAAGGAGCCATCACGGAAGATCACACAGTGTATGAGTCTGTGTAATGAAAGGTCCGGAAAAGCAAATAAATAGAAGCCGAGAATAGACGGCGGTTGCCTAGGGCTGGGGGTGGGGGTGGGCACCAGGAGTGACTACACATGGACACAAAGTTTCTCTCTGGAGGGATGAAATGTTCTAAAACTCCGGGGTGGTGACAGATGTACAACTGTCAATTTACTGCTAATTATTAAACGACACACTTTAAAAAGGCACAGTTTATGATGTGTGTGTTAAACCTCAAGAAAGCCATTTTTAAAAATGGGCAGTGGGAACAGGAGGCTGGGACTCGGGCAGGTCCGAGGCCCAGGAGGGTTGTGGTGCCTGACCTCGGCCTGAGGGCAACCGGGTGTCCGAGGAGGAAACTCGGTGAGCTCCCCAGCGCTGCCTTTCTCTGGCACGGCTCCCATCGCCCTGGCAGGTGGAGGAGGTTGACTCAGCCACTGCTGTGAGCTCAGGGGAGCGGGGGAGCTGCCACCCCACGTTCCCATCCCACTGTGAGCTAACACCCCAGCAGCCTCCCCAGCACCAGCTCCCCCGGCACACAGAAGCCATCCTGGCCAGCGGGGAGCAGCGGGCTCCGTCATGCTAGCAGAAAGCTGAGCAAAACCGGGAAAGACTGCGTGCTGACAGATGGCAGCTTCACTTCCCTCCCCTAAAACTCAGCCACCTGTGGCCCTCCAGGGCACCCGCCACCCACCCACAGCCCGCCGCGGTGCACAGTGCTCTGGCCCTCCACCCTCTCTCGGCTACCCCCAGAGCCCGGCGACCAGCCAGTGGGGCCTGGCACTCTCTTCATTCAAATTCAATGCACATGCCCTTGGATCCAGCGCCTCAACTTTTGCCCATCTGTCCTAAGTAAACATTTGCAGGTGTGCACAAAATGTTCACCTTGGCAAAAGCAAAACCACTGAAACCCTTACCTGCCTGCCAGTAAGGAACCGATTCAAAAATCCTAGTGAATGCACACCATGGAATACTGTGCAGAAGTTAAAATAACACAGATCTATTATCCCATTGTAGGTGTACTGGCAGGAAAATACCTCTGAGGCATCTTGTTGGGTGAAAAAAAAGGAAATTGCGGAACAATGTATCCAGGATGTCATCACCTACACAAACACAAAAATGAAACATCCCAACCAGCTCTGTCCCTCCAAGCCCACAGACACACAGGTAAACGAGAAAAACGCCTGGGAGGAAACACACCAGCCAGACGGCCTTACTAACGACAAAAGGAAGGATGGCAGGGAGGGAGGGAGGAATTTTTACTCTGTACACTTGGGTTTGATTTTTAAAGAGAAGAATGTTTGTGTATATTTGGGTTCTTTAAAAACATTAGAGTCTTAAAGAAAAGGAAGGAAGGGGGAGGGAGGGAAGGAAGGAAGGAAGAAAGGAAGGAAGGAAGGAAAGAAGGAAGGAAGGAAGGAAGGAAGGAAGGAAGGAAGGAAAGAAGGAAGGAAGGAAGGAGAAAGAAAGAGAAAGAAAGAAACAGAAAGACAACTGTGCTAAAATGGTCACCGTGCTGGTGCAGGGTTCAGGGGTTACTTTTCAAAGAGTGGTCAACATCCAGGATCTTGTCTAATTCTTGACATATGCCCTTGAGGGCAAGGTTCAACCCCATACTTTTCAGACTAAGAAACTGGAGCCAGAGAGCTGGAGGCAATGCTCCAGGTCACACGCAGGCCTGAGGGGCCAGTCCTGGGTGCTCTTTCTGCCCAGAGCACCCCCGGAAGCCCCGCAGCCAGCTCCAGAGCCCCTGCAAAGCCCCTTCAGGGAGGGGGAGATGGGACTTTGTCGGGGAAGCAGGGAGTAAAAGATGGAATGGGAGCTGATGAACTGCATCGCCCACGACAAAAATTAGACATCTGATGTGCCTCCCACTGAGTGGGATGGGCCTGCCACGTCACCTGGCAAATGACACGTGGGAAGAAGCCCCGAGGGGTCGTGTCCCCTGAGCCTGGGACTTCATGCCTCTCCCGAGGGGGTGACTCGCCCAGGCTCTCCTCTGAGTGCTCCCCGCAGTGCCTCTCTGCTCGTTCCCCAGAGCGCTCTGCAGCCAGCAATGGAACTGCGCTTCTCGGAGGGTTCTAGAGCCTGCGGAGCAGCGGGCACAGAACCCAACACCCTCGAGTCACTCCTGCACTACAGTCTAGTGCAGTAAATGCCACCATGCCTCAGTTCTCCCATGGACGGCTTTAGCCCCAACATCTGCAGGGGGTGCAGAGGCAGGAGCCCAGAGGGACCCAGGAAACGTGGCTGGGCCCCTCCCAGGACAGCCAGAGAGGATTTGTACACAGAGGGGGCCCAGAGGCTGCCGAGGATGGACACAGGACACCAGCAGAAATCTCGGCCGCACCTTGGCCAGGTGGGGCCCCTCGGGGCGTGCTCACAGAAGAAGGCTTTGGCCAAATCATGGATCCTCTATTCATTCCCATCACAAGAAGCAAACCTACAAGGCCATATGGCCAGTGACAAGCGTTTGAATCCTGGGGGTTCTGATCCTGCTCTGCCATCTTGGTCAAGGTTCTGAACCTCTCTGGGTCTTGGTTTCCCCATCTGTAAAATGGGTGTTTTATACCTGCCTCTTGGGTATTGTGATATCTGGATCATGAGACACATAGTAATGATATAATTAAATACAATGTAACCAGTACAGAGTATCCATTAAGTGTAGAAACAGATAATATCAGTGTGTATGTGTTTATATGTGTTTATTTATCCACTTGGTAAAGTGAAAATGTCCTGGATAGCATTGTGTATATTCTTTTTTCCAGACTTTATAAACATAACTATGATTATTTTTATACACATATAAATGCATTATAGTAATTTATATATGTTTATAACATGTTTATAATATATATGGCTTTATATTATATAACTGCTACATGATTCTTGTTTCATTTTATTATTATATGTTTATTATGTTAACAATCTATTTTATATCATTATATGCATATAATTACATACATATATAATGAAATATTCGAAAGCTTCACAGGCATGACCTAAATTAATGTCCACAGCAAGCCCTTTAGGAGGATACAATTACTATCTCCACTTTACAGAGGAGGAAATTGAGCTACAGGAAGCAAAGCGACTTGTCTACTGCCAGGGTCACACAGGGAATAATTGACAAAGTCAGTTTTAGACCCGCATCGTCTAACCTCCGAGCCTGTGCAGTTAGCCACCCCCTCCACCATCTCCCCCTGCAGCAAAGGCTGAATGAAGGGCAGGGACCTGCACGCGGACCCCGGCTGCGGTCTGACCCCGAGGAAGGGCCTAAGGAATGAAGATCCAATGAGCCCTGAGCTCTTGGAGGAGAGAGACCGGTCCTACCCGGTCACCAGATATCTAGAATAATAACGTGCACGGAGTAGGTGGTCAGTAAATATTTGTGGCAGGGAAGGAAAATTCCGATGATGTTCATTAGCCAAACACTGGGGTTCTTGTTCCTCCTTGTCCCCTGCCCCAAAAAAGTGCAAGATAAATGCGAAGCCCTCCCAAGACGTGTGAGGCTGACAAACTCAGGAGTTGGCCAGAACCCCCAGTCCCAGCCCCAGCCCCAGCCCACACATCTGCTGCACAGAATCGGAGCGGCCTACCTTCCTCCGCGTCGTTCCGCAGGGAGGCCTCCAGCAGGGCCACGCTGGCCTCGAAGGTCACCTTCTTCCGCCGGCCGCCAGTGCTGCGCTTCCGCTCGTGCTTGCGCTTGCGGTGCTGCAGGTCCTGCTCGTACTGCGCCCACTTCTTCAGCTGCTGCGCCCGGCGCTTCTGGGCGGCCCGCAGCCGCTCCAGCGTGGGCACCTTCTCCAGCAGCTGCAGCTCCGTCAGCAGGTCCACGTGGCTGGCCATGGCCACCGCGCCTCCCCACGCCCCGGATGGGGGCTAGCACGGTGTGCCCGGGGCCCGGGGAGCGCTGGGGCTCCGGCGGGGCTGGGGCCTCATGATGGGGCCTGTGGCGGGGAGAGAGACACAGATGCACGTGCTCGTCAGGCTCAGAACTCGGATATGATTCTATCACCTTGCCCATGTTCAAAACACTTTTTTTTTTCTATTTTGTTTTTCTCTTTATTAAGATATAATTGACCTGTGAATTGTGTAGATTTAAGATGTTGACTTGATACACTTACAGATCGCTATATGATTACCAAACCAATGTCTGTGTAAGCTAACATCTCTCATATCAAAGCATTTACTGTGGTTATATTGTTGTAACATACAAAGTTGTTACATTGTTATAACATATAAGGATTTATTGTTGTGACCTATAAGGATTTACTATTATATTGTTATAACATATAAGGGGTTTACTGGGGTTACTTCTTTAGATTTTATTTATTTTTAGAGAGAGGGGAAGAGAGGGAGAAAGAGAAGAAGAGAAATATCAATGTTCAAGAGACACAGCCATAAGCTGCCTTTCACGCCCCAACCCAGGCATGTGCCCTGACCCAGAGTCAAACCATCGACCTTTCGGTTCACAGACCTGCACTCGATCCACTGGGCCACGCCAGCCAGGGCAAGAGGTTTGTTGTTAATTTTAAAGGAATTAGTGCTGTATTTCTAATTTCTCAGCACTAATTTGTAATATGCTAAATGATAACAGATTGTAATCCAAAGAAACAAACGCTCTCTGGGATTCTTAATTGTAAGAGTATAAAGGTGGTCTAAGACCAAAAAGTTTGATAATTGCTAAATTACTGAGACCTAGAAAATCTTAGTTGAAGTGTTCCTCTTGGATCTTTAAAAACAAATTTTTTAAGTCCTGGACAACAGACTTGCAGAGTCTGAAGCCCACTGGTCCTGCCTTCAGACCCCATGGGCTCTCAAACAAAGAGGGAAAGGGTCTTAAGACCACTTGAACCCCTCCAGGCCTGTTTTCCCACCTATAAAATGTTGTCTACACCTCCCAGAATTTATAAAACGTTCAAGGAACGAAAAGAACTGGCCACAAATGTTATGCACCTAGTGTAGCAGCAGAGAGAAACCAGCTTGGAGGAAGAAGAGCAGGGATCCCCGGTCATCTGGGAACCCACAGGCAAGGCTGGAGGACTGAGGGGTGACCGAGAAAGACCGGCAGAGGTCTACATTCATTCGCATGATGTGGAAATTTCCGTTGTCACAAAGGGGATCGGGATGGCCCTGTGCTTTAGGAAGTGATTGTCATCTCCTGGTTTTCCTGTTTCATTGCCAGCAGGCGGCTGCAGGGAGGGTGGGGTGAGGGGTGCTGCCTGCTCAACCTTAGCCTGGACCCTTGGGTGCTCAGGCTGGGCCAGACTGTTCTTCAGGTCTGTCCCAGCTCCGAGACTCGAGGGTAGACAGGCAGCGTGCGGAAAGGCTGGCTTGGCGGTACTCTCAGGGCAAAGGTCCAGGGGATCCGAGGACCTGAGCTCAAGGGTAAACATGAGCCAATGGCAAGGCTCAGCAGGAAACAGCTAACTAGCTTTCATTGCCTTTTGTTTTGTTTTCTTTTGAATACCTTACAGTGCTTTTTAAATTAATGAATCATACTTTTATTTTTTTAGATCACTATAGATTCATATGCAGCTATGACAAGTTACACAGAGCCATGTACTCTTTATCCCACTTAGCCCAGAGGTAACATCTTGCAAGACAACAATATAATGTCACAACCAGGAACCTGACACTGATGCAATCTATTGGCCATATTCAGATCCCCCCAGTGTGACACCTGCTCGAGCTGTGCATGTGTGCGTTTAGTTCCATGCAGTTTCATTCCACAGGTAGGTTCCACCACCTGTGGAATCCCACCACACAGTCCAGATACAGGCAGTTCCATCACCACCCCCTGCAACACACCCCTGTCCTTGCCCGTGGCAATCACAAATCTGTTGCCCATCTCTAGAATTTTGCCATTTCAGAATGTTATGTAAATATGACCAAACAGTAGGTAACCTTTGGGGATTGGCTTTTTTCACTCAGCACGATTCCCTGAAGATTCATCCAATCACTGCCCGTATCAGTAGTCTGCGGCTATTTTGTAACTGGGCAGCATTTCATTTCACGGACCTGCCCCGTGCTGTTTACCCATTCACACACTGAAGAACACCGGGGCGGTTTCTAGTTTGTGTTTATTGCCTTCGTGCACAGATTATTTTGTGTGAACGTAAGTTTTCACTTCTCTGGAGTAAATGCCCAGGAGTACGAGTGTTATCTTGTAGGGTAATCAGACGTCTAGTTTTGTGGGAAACTGTCAGGCTGGTTTCCAGAGGGGCTGCACCATTTTTCCTTCCCACCAGCAACATAGGAGTGATCCAGTTTCTCTGTCAGCACTTGCTCTTGTCACCGGCTTTTATTTGAGCCATTTAGATAGATATTTTGGTTGCCTTTTTAAATGGAGCTCAGAAGAGTTGACTTCATAACCACACGGTATCATTCCGACAGTCAGACCTCACTGGGAGCTAGTGAGCTGCTCCTTCTCACATAATCAGACATTCAGCGAAGACCTGCTCTGTGACGAGCCCTGATTCAGAAGGGTTACGGACCTGCTCTGCCCTCTAGGAAATCCCAGTCTGTCTGTCTGTCTGTCTGTCTACCTATAAATTCATTTAGTCCTCCTGACAAGCGAATGAGGTAGGTACTGTTATCACCCCCATTTCATAGATGAGGAAAGTGAGGCACAGAGCGATTAAGTATCTTATCCAACATCACACAGCTAAAAAGATAAAAAGACCAATCTGCCTGGGGTTATCAGGAAAGGTCCTCCAGAGTAAAGGACAACTGATAATCCTAAAGGATGAGTAGAAAGGAGTTCACCAGGGAAGAGGAAGTAGAGACACGGGCTGAGAGGAAGCTTGGCCATGTTCAAGGGCATGGGGAGGGGCTGACCTTCATGGAGGGGGTTCTGGAAACAGCACACACACACACACACACACACACACACACACACACACACGTGGTTTGCAGAGGATGGAGCTGCCCCGCCCAAAGGGAGCAGAAGAAGAGTCTCAGGGGGCAGTGGTGAGCAGCTTGTGACTATGGGCCAGACCCAGCCAGAAAGCCCTCTGCAGTCCACAGCACGGTCCACACCATGTTTTACAAAATTATTCATTGCTTGCATCTAAGATCTCCATTGCTTAGAGATCTTATCACCAAAATTGAAAGTTCAGCTTTTCCTACAACATCTCAGTCCTTGGTCACACTGGGCTCGCAAGGCCACAACGAGCAGGAGTAGAGTCGGCCTGTCCTCTTCATACAGGGCACATGCCCTAGAATTCACCGTAGTCCCCACGGCCCCCCGTGACTCCCACTTGACCTCCTTCACAAAATAACATCGCTCGCTAGCTCCTGTGGTCATCTGAGTTCTCGAGCCCTGTCTTAGGCAGAAGTCTCCAAACATCCAGAGGTCCGATCTGCACTAGGACGCAAAGATAGTCTGTGAGCCCCCCACCCCAGTGCAGAAGAGGACCGAGGTTCAGGGGGGCCGTTGTGTGCACCCCGAGAACAGACTCCGGCCTCTGTAGCTGTCCGACAAGCAATTCAACAAGGTGCTTGCGGTCCAGTGGCCTTGGACGAGCGATTGTATCCAGGACAGAATGTAATGACATCGTTTGTGTTTGCTGTGGACTTGTTTTCAGTTACTGTTTTCTAAAGGTAGTTCATATAAAATTTCCATTTTGAATAAAAACCTACTTCGGTGGAAAGCTAGCAAGTAGGTATCAAAGAAAATATTAAATAATGATGGCGGTGAGTGTTGGCAAATATTACATGTGACTGACAGCTGGAAAAGCCACCCGGCCCCTGATCTTCCGAGAAGGCCATCTTGTAAGAAAAGCACTTGTATGAGGTCGTTACTTCATCTGACAAATAGTTATTGGGCAGGACTGTGCTGAGGGCTGGGGATGCAGCAGGGTCAAAGGCAGACACAGTCCCTGCCTATTGGATGGATGACAAAACAGAGGCACAAGGGAGTGGGCGACGTGCTCCAAGGATACAGAGACTGAGCAGTACCTCGATCCCTGGGCCTGACTCCCAATGCAGTGCGCACCCCCTGGGCTCCACAGTGGCGACCCCCAGGCAGACCGAAGGCACTCACTGCACTGACCTCCCTGGCTCGGGCCGTTTGCTCGGGGTGGAGGAATTAAGGGCAGTTGCCCAGCCCCCTGGAGAAAAGTGAGGACAATGCCTCCCAAGGGCCAATAAAAGGGGCCAGAACACATTTTCTCCGACTTTGCTCTCCCTGGCAGCCCCTCCCACCTCACCCCTCTGGGTTCCCTGGAGCTGGGGCTCCAGGACAGCTCCCTCTTGACTACTGGTTTTCAGGTGACCTAGTTTCCCCCAATAGACCCACACACCTCCTCCCACCCCCGGCCGAGAAAACCCTGCTTGGTCTAATTAAAGAACTGCCACCCTGCTGCTAACACAGCAGCTGGGCGGCTCCCAAGACAGGGTGCTGGCCTGGGTGCTGGGATAGCCCACAGCAGCCCTGGCTCCGAAGGGCTGGGGACTAGCCTGCTCCTGACACCGGTGCACGTGTGTCTTGTACTGCCGGGGATAGCCGTGGATGGTGACGGGGACACAGCCCAGGCTGCCAGGACTGGGGAGAGCAACGACACCATCCACGCTCAAAGGAGATCCCCAAAGACCTCATGGGGAGGAAAACCAGCTCCATGGAGACGTGGAGCCTGGTGTGTTGTGGGAATATCCCGATGGACCGTCCTGCAGAGAACTGGGCATGTGGGGCCACAAGTCAGTGGAGTGGCAGAGCTGGCCGGACAGGTATGGGAGGATGTCTGCAGAGGTCAGATGGGCAGTGGGGGGTTAACCAGGAAGTGTGTGTGACATAAGAGAAATCAGAAGCGAGGCGGAATAGGGCATGGTACTTAAGTTTTCCAACAAATGGCCGTGTCAGGTCTGGCTGGAGGAACCGAAATAGCCTGTGGGTGGGCAGCAGGAAATCCAAGGCCAAGGCACTTGACCTCAGTGAGGCAGGAAC